GGCTGTCCTCCAATTCCTGCAGTACACGCGCGGCGACTTTCGCACAAAAGCTTTCTTGTTCCGGGTTGCACGCCGCTGTTTCCGCAAGCTGAGCACTCCAGGTTCGTACCGCGTCTCTTATGTGCGTCGGGGCACAGAACACGGCTGCTGATCGCTCCTCGATCGCTAGTAGACCGTGCTGGGTCGTAGCTGGCTTGGCTCGAGCCGCTTTGCGAGCCGCCGCGCAACAAATTACCTCATAGGTCGCGGACTGCTTGGGCGTGGGTGGCTGGGTTGGGATTGGGGTACACCACAGAGTGTCTGCTTGCTGGATTGCTTCTTCTGCTCGGTTGCCCTGTTCATCGTTCTGCGCGGAGTTCTTTTTTCGCCGCTGTGCGGGCAACTGCGTCCGCAACGCTCCGGGTAACTGCGCTGTGGTTAGAACAATTGGCTCGTCAGCTCCGTCGTCATCACTATTACCGTCGGCTTCCGCGTGTGGCCGCACCCGATACACGGATAAAAAGTTGCCTACGTTCCGTTTCGTTTCTGCGCACGGCAAACGCTGCAGCCAGTTGCGCAAGGAGTCTTCCCAGGACTCGTGCTTGCCGAGCAAATGCCCCAGGAAAGGAACGTTTTCCGACTCCTCGGCGCCATTCAGGGTCCACGCACGGAAGTATAATTGCGTCAGCCTGGCATTGGCTTCTGAATTTTCCGCCAGGTACTTTGGCACCGGGCAATTGGAGAACTGTGGGCACTTTGGTCGCGCACGTCGCTGCAGATACCAATTGCGCCGTAAGCTGGCTGTGGCACCGATGCGGGAGAAAAGAATGCGGTCTGGGGTCGCTTCTATGCGTATCGTGTACTCCGTACCCGGCCGCAATCGTGCAGGTGCCTCGCGCACCGTTGCGCGTAGCTTGCGCTCTCCCGCCGGCGTTAGGCGGATGTCCCACGCTGTTGCGGATCCTCAAGGCAGGCGTTAGGTCGCGCGCTTGGTGTATGATTTTTCGCGGCCGTATGCCGGATGGCCGCGTCCTCCTCCGGTCGGGAGTATACAACTTTTCGACAATTTGTGGTGTCGAATTAGACGGTGGAACGGCGTGGCCGGAAGCCTTGGAGGGAGAGTGCGAGTAGGGTGTTGCGGGCAGCTCCTGATTCACACACACGCATATGTGTATGTAGGGCATCGAGAGAGATAGGGCAGAGTCGGATCCTTAGACGTTCCACTCGTGGCTCCGCACTGGGAGGGAAGTCTCTGGAACGGTCGGGACTATGCAACTTTTGGCCGATTTGTGGTGTCGACTTCGATGGTGGAAAAGAATGGCGAGGGAAATTGCCGGGAGCCTTGGAGGGACGGGTGCAAGTAGATGTGCCCAGGGGTCGGCGGCAGGGGGGCGTAGCCCTTACAATAAAGTATACAGTATACAAGGCTCGTGCGCGATTCAGGCAACTATTTTGAGGACATACACTATGCACGCATATATACGCACATTAATTTTAAACTCAAGCCACCACAGTCCCTGGTTCCAAGCCTGGCAAGCAGAGTGCAAAGCCAGCCAAGACCAACAGGATGGAGATGATCTGGGACGGTCCGTGGTGTAAACCGATTGCAGCAAACATGCTGAATTTTTACAGCCTCTGGTCAAGCAAACAGGAGGCAGCTGATATCAAAGGTGTATAGACTTTGGCTGAGAGGCTCTTTCAATCAACATGCGTATCCTAATGACGTATCGAACCCTTTTTCCATTTAATAAATGCGATTGGCTCTGGTTTGCCAATCTGTCGAGATTTCAAGAGAAGCCATCGCTTCTGTTGTGAGTTTTGAAAGAAGCCCTAGCTCCGAGATTTACGTAGAAACCCTAGTTTCTACATTTAAGGAGAAGCCCTTGCTTCTCCTGCGACGCCTGTACAACCACAACCAAAAGAAGCCTACGCTTCCGTTGCGAAGCCTGTACAACCACAACCTAAAGAAGCCCTAGCTTCTGTTCTCTGTTGTGAAGCCTATACAACCACAACTGAAAGAAGCCCTAGCTCCTGTTGTGAACAAAGAGAAACCCCACCAGCTTCCCTCGGAATGGATAAAACACATGCAGCCCTATCAGCTCGCATTACAAAATTGATCAAACACTGACGAAACAATGAACCACGCAATCTCAAGCCGAAGCATGGCCCATGGAAAATGACCCCGTGGTCTAATGAAAAGCAGGAGCTCCCAACTACCACGTTCATTCCTCATCACTTCTTCCAACAATCTCTTGGAACTTCTGTGGAAATCTCTGTGCACCCACCATGAACCTCTTCACTCTGCGTGTGTTTGCCTGATGTTCAAGGCGACCTGGTGGCAAAGGAACACCAAAAGGACCATCAAAGGTTTCATCGTGCTTCTGGTCCCATGACCGGAAGCTCGTGAGCTGCTCATCCTCAAAATCAACTTCCTGAAACGTGTCTTCACCCACCTGAACCGAGGTCACGGAAAATGCCACTCTGCGAGATTCCACGCCTTTGGGTTGCGCGTCGAGCGAGTCCGACAGTGACGACATGAGTGGAAACTCTGACGGCAAGTCCGACAGTGACGATGCTGAGGAGGCGGATGTGGCCAATGCAGCGGATGGCTGGACCACTGTCATTGGATCAGAAAACTCCTCAGCACTCACGCGTCTCACACTTGCTGCACAGCCCATGGGAAGAGGTGCCCTGCCGAGGTCGAGGTCTGCGGTCGAGCCCTGACGGTACTGAACTGTCTCCCTCCGTGTCGAGCCAGGCGGCACCAATGTCAAACGAGTCAGAACACTGCAGAACTCCAGAATGTTTGGAGAAATGAGCAAAACATGAGAAGTTGGAGCACCAAAAACATCCAAAAAACCCTGCCTGCTGCGCTGTAGAGACCTGGTTGATGGCCTGATGTCAAGTTCTTTTTATGGATTCTGATGGGTCACTTGTCAAGTTTGCGCTTTTGCGCCCTTTGGATCCCTTAAATGTGACTACACTCCCACAGCAAACGCAGCCTCCCGGTTCTCTTTCGTTTCTCTCATGTCACTTGAGTCAGTTTCTGTACCTTTCCGCTGTTCAATCTCACCGACTTCCCCGGGCTGCGATTTCTTGCGCCTCCTTGGGCGGAGCTTCTGCACCTTGCTGCCAGATCCAGGCCTATAGAGCGGCAAAGCGCTCGACCAGTGGTGAAGAACATCCTGACATCCTTTTGGGCATGAAATGGCATGAATGTATTTTGCACAGGCACCCATTTCATCCCAGTTGAAATGTTTCATGAAAATAATATAATTCATTTCATACTTTTCTGTATATCTAATTACTGGGGGCCCCTGTCCAGTGCTTTGCCACTATCTCTCTCAGTAGCAGCTCGTTTTTCATCAAGCAATTGCCCCAATTCCGTCAACTTCTCCAACCCCCCCAACTTCTGGCATTGACTTCCTAAGGGGCATCCGTTTCGGAAGATTCCGAGAATCAAACAGGGGGATCTGAAAAGTGGCACATGTTCAACCCAAACTCATTATGCTACTCACTCTAGAGAGACTCTCCTAAAGTGTCTGGCCCACTGGATAATACGTAGTCATGCAGTCGCACATTCTCTTTCTTCAAGAAGAAGTCCTCTCCCTTCCCAGGCCAGGCCGAGGCCGTCACAGTGAAGGCGAAAGCGAAGTAGAGCGCCCCGGTGTCATCCGGGCCCTGGATCCGGTGCCGAGGCGAGACACACAACCAGGCCTACAAAGGCCTACAGGTCATGGAAACGCCATGAATCAATTGCCACAAAGGCAAACAAACTGCCACCAAGCGAGCTCTGAACATCTCTGAACTGTGTGTTTGTGTTTGTGGACACACTTCGGAAGAAACCCTGAAAGTACCCGGAAAATGGATACATTGAGATACCTGGTGCAGGTGTGGTGATCTTATTCGGTCCTCGGTTGAAACAGCGCACTGGTGTGTCTGAGGCGTCCCACGAAGCTGCCGTAGAGCAGAAGGGCCCAAGCTGCGCAGAACGGTGCCAAGCCGCTTTTGGATCGTATCGATATCTATCGATTCACCTTGAACTCAGTTGGACCTGATTGAGGTGAGAGTGAAATTAAGGATATCAAAGGGTCGCGGTGAAGAGTCAAAAGAGCGTGAAAACACCTGGAGTAATATATTTACTGGATTCCGCCGTGCTGCCTGCAAGGCCTAGTGGGCCAGCAGCACCGCCAAGAGCATTTCGTGCCAGGACCCTGGGCGTCAGAATCGAAGTTGGGCACACTCTTTAGTAAAGTGGATGGATTTTGAACAGCACATGCTTTGTTGTATGAGTAGCAAACCGGCTTGCAAAGAGCGGTAGAAATCACTTCATAGACTTGTTCTTCTTCTTCTTCTGCTTCTTCTTCGTTTTCTGTTTCTTCTTTCTTCTTCATCCTTGGGCATTCATGTCTTTCAGGCACTTGAGGTCTCATCGCTGCATGTGTTGGTACAGTCCAAGTTTGTTTTCGATGCAACCATCCAGATTGATCGTCTTCTGTGTCAGGGACTGGCCGCACAGCATTGCACTCAGAGGACCATTGAATCTGACATCTGAACTTGGCGGTGAGATGTCCGCACATTCCATTGACACGACTCTTGTGAAACCTATGTACTCGAACATGGGCAAAGTCCATGTCAGTTTCAGTGACCTTGCTAGATCATTGACATTCTTCATGGGACCGCCACTACAGAACTCACTTAAAGCATACACAAAATAATCACTTCCTCCTCAGGCCACCGGAACGGAAGCTCCGCTCACGGCGGAGAAATTCCACAGGTAGTGAGATTCACCCCTATGCATGGTCTCAATCACTGGCAAACCAAACTCACCAATCAACGCACAAACAAAATCCCGAACTTACTTCAAAACGAAAGTGAGGGTCTAGACACCAATAACAAGCAAAGCTGCCAGACTTTGCGCAAATTGATTCGCAAACTGTTTAGGAAAAAGAGCGAGCAGGAAGCCTCAACTGTATGGCAAAGCCTTTTCATATTCGGTGCCCAAACAGCTGGCCCCGCTCTCATGTCTCGAAAAATCTAAGGATATACTCCGGATAGGCCTGGTCTGGTGAAAAAGTCACCACTTCTGTGTGGCTTTGCCGCTGAGAGAACCCGTTGAAAATCCCGGGCTGGGCGATGATGGAATCGCACCGCCATTCTTTGCTTCCTGTAGTAGTAATGATTGCCTTCATAGGTGGTCCTAGGCCGTGGATGAGGCTTGCCCCGACCATCCCTAACATTTTTTTCACGCTTCAAAGCTGTGACCTGTGTTCACGTTCGAGCATAAAAACTTAAAATCCGTTTGTATACACTTGATTGCTTAAGGCACGTTCGGTATCAGAACAACGTCCTGTCGCGTAGTGGGGATCACCAATTGCGACTCTCGCAACGAGCATGGTCCCGAGCATATTGGGCGATGCTTTTGCGGTCATTCCTGATTCTGTTGCATATTGTGCACTTTTGCATGTCTGCGATGCAAAATAGCTTCCCTTGCCATACAGCCCGTTACTATTGGCGATCCGGCTGTCAAAACCTTCTTTCGCGATCTGTTCTGCCAAGGCAAAAGTCCTCGTCCCATGAAACAACAGTCGATCATTCACAGATTCATCGACCTGGATCTTCTTGGCAAATTCGGTCAGTGCATTCCCCACAGGTGGTTGGATGACCTCAGGGGTGATGCCCTCCAGCCTGTGCTTTTCCCGAATGCTTTGACCAAAGCGCTGGAACCGCCGCCATAATATCAAATTTTTGATCTGGAATGCCTCCTTCAGCTGAAACCTTGAACTTCCATGCAGGCAGTTACAAGCGGTACCATCATGACGCAGCAACGATTGATTCAAGAGGTCTTGCAAGTCTGACAGTGTTTGTTGGTCTTCCACCTTCTGCACAACTTTCCATGGGTGCACATCACACGTCTGAGTGGTTGTTGAGGGAGATCTTGGACCCCTCCCAAAAATATCAAAAAAACGTGCAGCCAACGACCTCTGAACTGACAATTGAGAGGGTGATCTTGACCCTTCTTGAGGATTCTTGGATGTGTCCTTGAGAGACTTCAACACATCTTCATCCTTCAACTCCCAATGGCTCGGTAACGGAAAGCAGCAGCGAATCCTTCGAAGCTTTTGGGTCACTGTGTTCATCTGCGACATCTCTTTGAAACTGATCGTGTATAACCTCCCTCCCATATCAATGTAGCACTCCTCACTGCCATTCAGAAAGTCCTCCATAAGGAGTTTGCTGGCATCGGCCTTAGATTTGACGAAGCAAATATATATATATATTTATGTATATACTGGAATTTCTTGGTCGCCTTCCGGCCCCCAACATGGATTCTTCTGATTTACAGGAACAACAAAAGCCCTCCAAAACCATCTCCCACGGAAAGCTCAGAGGCCAGAAAAGGCACCTAATGACCACCGTCCTCTTCAAATTGCCATTCGCACCATTCGCCCTCGGACGAATTTCCATTCTGCACCACCTTGCGTTGATGCAGCAAACCTTCAATCATGTTGCGTTGATGCAACAAATCTTCAATCCTCTTCTTCATATATGCATTCTCATTCTCCAGACGTGTGATCCTTTGTCCTTTCAGCCGCAACTCATCATGTGCTTCATGTGCTTGAAGCTGAACGTGATTGAGCAGGTCTTTCACTGCGATGTTCTTTTTCTCCAGCCTTTTGGTGACACACTTCTGTTTGTCCAACTGCTCTCTAAGCTGCTCATTTTCTTTTTCGCGCTGGGTGAGTTGGCTCCTCATGTGCAAAGCGCTGGACTGAAACAAACCCGCCCTGCAAGCAGTTCAACCCTGGAACATACTGCTACGCTCAAAATGTGTTGAATTCGATTACATTGTATTTACCAGCGACCAAAGCTCTGCAGGTCATCATTACGACGTGCAAATTGCGCTGCTTCATCCTCCTTTCTTGTCAAGTCCTGGCTCCCAGCATAGACACACGGGAGACAGAATCTAAACCTTGCAGAGTTTGCAACAGGAATCGCAAGTGAGCAAGGGCCCAAGACAGGAGAAAGAACAAGAGCACCAAAATGAATACAAGCGCGAGGCTGCCAAGTAAATGTACCGTTGAGGCCAGTTCATTGTCATTCCGCCCTGTTGAAGCTGTGTTTTGCATTATGGCATAAAACATGGTTTGCCTACTGACCAACAAGACCTCGGCTCTGCTCGATAGCTGGTCGAAAACACAAACAGTGTCACAAAAAACAAGCAGGTTCTCATAATTGTTGTCAAAAACAATATCTAGTAGTCCAGTGCAACCAGTGCGTGCACTGATCCTTGACAAACCAGGGAGCTGCGTCAGTCCACAAAACAAGGGGTATGAAGGCGGTATCTCGAAACAACATGCAGTTTGATCACCATGACTAACGTGAAGACTTTGACACGAAACTCCACATGTGAGTCCTGTCTCAAGCGCTGATTCTCTCTTGCTGCGCGGTTCTTGCGCTCTCGTTTTGAATGGCCAGCAGCTCCTCAATTGTCGGGGCTGGCCAACAACCGCAACACAAACAAATCTCGGTACGCATTCTGTACACCAAACCACAACAGTTCGACTCGATGCATTCATTGTGTTTGCTGCTTCTTTGCTCGGATTTGGTTGGTGTGTGTGTGTGTCACCCCCTGTTTCAAAGGGTTTCGGACCACCAATTCACTTCACATGCAGGGGGCAGGAGTGCCATTGCAAGTCTCCTGCCAACGAAGACGCTTGCAATTGGCAGTGAAGCCAGACCTGATCAGTCTGGCGTACCTGCTTTCAACACTGACTCCAATGGTCCACCCTGCCGCTGTTTGTTGGTTTCATGGTTCTTCTTCATGCTACTACTCTCCCCCAAACCCTAGTTTCTGCAGCCGCGCCGCGCCGCTCGTCTCGCCACCGCTGATTTTTGCAGACATGTGAAACAACCTTTGTTCAAACACCTACAATTTCTCGGACCTTTCGCCATGCGGTTCTCTCACCTTCCTTCCACCTGGGAATTGAGTTAACTGAAAACCAATGTCAGAGTGTGAACCGCTCAGCCGTCCCACTTGGGTGCTGGGTGTGATCCCCGTCACTGGGGCGCTGTCTTCATGCCGGATTTTCACTAACTGCTTCCATCGTTTCCACCGTTCGTTGGATTCTCTTAACTGACTTAGTTTCACTACTGAATTGTCTGATTTCAAAGCCGCCTTGCTTTTACGGCGATTCTCTTTTACAGACTTTCAATTAGATTTTCACTCGGAATTTCTCTTACTGACTTTCAATCAGATTTTCATTTACAATCTCACTTGCAGCCGGATTTTCGACTTCAAGGATGTACAGTCAGGACGTTCGATCACACTTACTGTGAGATCCACCTTGTTCACTTTCAACCATTTTCACTATCACTTTCATACAAGATTTTCCACAGTTGCCACTCCACCATTTCTCTCATAATTTCATCTACCATTTGTAGAGCCTCTCAGCTGCCGACGCGCTGCGCTGGTGCCATTGAGCAGCTGTCCGATCTTGCCGCCACAGCAGTTTCAACCGACATGCAGTATCCTTGGCCATACCCGTACACCACACAGCCATTACCTCCAACAGCACCACCGACCTTTCCAGTTCCACAAGCACCGCCACATATACCTCCTATGATGCCACCCATGCAGACCACTATGCCACACTTCACTACCTTTTATCCACCTTCCAGCACCGCAGCCAACTTTACCTCCGGCCTTTCACCCTCCTCCAACATACCCGTTCCCCTACACCCAGCCGCCACCAGAGCCCACGCACACACCTGCCACCGTTGCCTCTCCAGTCACTACTCCACCACAACCCACTCAAGCTCCTGCTGCACCACCGTCCAACCACTCGCCTCCGCAACCAACAGTGGCCCAATGGACCCTCAACAAGGAGTGTGGCAGCCATTTTCGGTTTTTCCACCAGTGGTACAACAGACACATCCCTCACCGACCGCACAAGCCATCTATGCCACCTCCTACGCCCCCAACCATTCCACAGTCACCGGCATCCACCGCTCCGCCAGCGCCAGATGCTGCGACAACGGCTGACCAAGCATCCTCAGCCACCATACACTCCAACAACACCCCGCCACCCTGAGGATCAGCCCATTCCGATCACATCAACGCCACACAAGCAACTGACCCACCTTCCACCCTGCCAGCGCAACAGCAGCCACCACCGCCACCACAAAAGCCACATCGTCGCCGAGAGCACGGCCGACGCCGTCGCCACCGCCAGCATCGCAGACACCACACCAGGGGCAGGCGTACGCACCGCCAGCCACGCACGACACATCACCACAGATCTTCTCGCGCCCATCGATCACGTTCTCCTTCCTCCTACTACTCCTACTACTCCCGCAGCCGCTCACCCTCCCGCAGCCGTTCCAGACAACCCATTTCACTTCTGCCCAACACGGATTCACTTCAACAAGACGCCACATCCAACCAATCACAACCCAGCTATCCAACCACTCCAGCCCTTCGCAGGGCTGCCAATCCCTGGCGACCTCCACCGCATTTTCAACAAAAAACGCCACAAGAACAACTGGAGATTTGGCTGGACTACCACGCAGACCCATTTGACACACCCAACAAACCCCAACATACCTGTGTCGCCCGCGTGCTGCTGGATAGCGGCCTCACCTACAAAGACATATGCGACTACCGCCAACTCACCCACATCAAATGGAACGACAGCACCAACAACTACGACCTGTTTCACTTCAACTGTATTTCCATTCCATCCACGGCACAGAAGGCCAGTCGCCGTTTTCCACCTCCAGCTACACGTGCAACCTCCACGTCACCAGAACTTGTTCACATCGATGCCAGCCACACTGGCCCAGCCGGCAACATTACCAACATTCTCCAACAAGGCCGTTTCCTACCCAGCACCCTCCATTTTCCCAACAACTCGGGCTTCTTCGCCCAAGGCGTCCGCATCACTCAACGAGTCCAGCGCGACACAGTCCATCCTTGTCACTCTTCTCGCTTGGGGCACTGGCTCGAAGTTTACCAGCGGCGGAGAGGAGCAAGCTATGAACCTTCTCCACCAAAATCATGATGCTGTATTTCACGCCAACGCTCGCAGCGCAGAGAACGCCATGATCAAAGGCCTGGCCTGGTCTGCGAGCGCAACACCGCCAGACACCTAATCTCCCACTACCACCTCCTCTTCCACTACAACATCTTTCCCTACGCCACTTCCACTTGATCAACTTTGGCCATTTTTCACCATGTCTCAAATCGCAGCACATACCACTCGCTCCGCGACAAAATCAGAGCATAGCCAGAGCGTTTTGCAGCAATCATGAATTCAGAACCCTGCGCGTAGTTTGCCAAACTAACGACCAATCATGTCGATTGCGTGGCAATCCGACCTTGTTGAACTTTTTTTGGGAGACTGGATCTCCCTCTCATGACTTGAGAAGTTTGCTGAACCGATCTTGTTTGGGTGTTTTTACGCTTCAGGTTCTCCTTTTTGGTGACTTGAAGATTGTGGCACTCTCATGATACATGCCGGATGATATGAATGCATTTTGCAAAATTCGATGCTCGATAATTCACCCTGCACGGCCCGTGTAGAACTCCATATAGCAGCTCACCGCGCCGCTGCTGTGCTTGCCGCGCCGACCTGCTGCCGCCACAGCCAGCTCCAACACAGACTCCTCACAGATATGGACAACAACACTGACCAAGCTAATTTGCTCCAGCGCACCACTGTGGCCCTCACACAACTTCACCGCTTACTCCAACAAGCAACAGACATCTTGGTCGATCTCCACAGTCTCTACCTAGTCCATACCGGACAGGTTGACACTCAGTTCCACCGCCCTTTTCCTCCACTTCCAGCACCTCCGACATTCACCGTGCCTATCCCCTCTCCCACATCCTCCTGCGATTCTGCACCAGCACATCCCAAACCTCCGGCACCTGCCAAGCCACCGGCATCCCTCGACACTACCAGTTCTTCTTCCTCCCCAAAACCCAAGCGAGCAACCAAAGAAAAAACGTGAGCCACCCCCGCCGTTCAATTCACAAGCAGACTGGGATGCTTGGGATGGCGACGCCGACTGTCGCCTAGTCGAGTTGAAGACAGACCTTCACCTTCGCCACAACTAGGCTTCTCCGTTGAGCAGTGCAATCCACGCTGGCAAGAACTTCAGGATCTTCGCGCCTCCAAGAAACAGAGACACAACCAGCACTCTCTCAGCCTTCTCAGCCCAACCCACCACTCGAATCATCAGCTCTCACCTACACTCCCACATCACCACGTCACAAACCTTCGGCAACCTCTCCTCTACCAGTTTCAGAGGCAGATTCTCCACCTCTACTCCACCTGATCCTACTCCACCACCTGCGGCTGCGGCGACTCCAGCGGCTGATGCGCAGATGCTAGGTGAGGACAGACATCCAGTCACCGGATGACCAATTTTTAGGGAGCTATTTCATTTGACTCACCTGTTTCATCCACGTTTCACCCAAGCTCCTTTCGGCGCGCTGCCGGAAACAGAGGATGGCCAATACCGTCCTGACAGTTTGAGCCATCAGATGTTCAATTTTGACGCAATTTTGACTCGATTTCCGGTCTTGACTCGATTTCAGCGCGGAACTTTTTTCATACGTTTCATTCGATTCCCTTGGTTCGTCCCGCAGCCTTTTATGATTTTCTGGAACCTTTGATCGCGCTATCTTTAGGCCTTAGTTGAGCATGTCGGCCGACCGCAGCGCGCACCGGAACCTAGCTCCTGCAAGTGGCTCTCAACCTTCAATTACTCCACCGCAACAAGCCCACACCACGACCTCCACACCTTTCCTGCCGACAATCCACCCCTTCACCTGGCGCCATCCATCACACACCAACCTGAGCTTCTTCTACTCAGTTGGATGATCGATACTCTCTTCCAGCTCGTCAATCGAATCCTCGACCACCCAATTGCAGCAGGCCCCATGCCAGATCAATTCCACCAATTCCACCGCAGCTTTTTCCGCCTTGGACAAGCCACACTACACTTGATGCGAGCCAAACATTTACTCCAGTTCATTCCAGGACCTCCCGGCTCGCCCGCATGGATCCCACAGCATATTTTCCACCACACACAACCGATTTTGTCTCAACCAATCAATCCACACCTCCGCAATCTCCTGCGCGCTCTCACCGCCACCCTCATCCCTCTTCTTTCTTCTCGACACAAGCAAGGCAGCGTTCCCGATCAAGGGACTGACCAACAGCTATACACCACCACCTGCCGATGTTGCGCAGCCGGCTGCAGCGGACCACGTCGACGATGATGCAGCCAGTGACAGCCATTGGAGCGATTATGCTCCCACTTCACTCCCTTAAGATCCAGTTTCACCCCACCGTCTTCGGCGCGCTTGCGGAAAACTTGCAACCGGTTTCATCACATTAAAACAGATACGCCTTTGTACTGTGTTTTGAACCTTCAATTTCACATGTCAACTTTACTGTTGGGTCAGTAGACCA